TGATTGCAATCAATAAATCCAAGTATTATAAGACGAGTAAAGGTCTTCGTTTAGGCGCCGGGCCTTTCGTCAGCGCTCTTGAGTTCGCCACCGGACAGACCGCTCAGATTGTGGGCAAACCTAATCATCAGTTCTTTCTGCAGGCTTTGGAACCGTTTGACTGCAGACCCGAAGACAGTGTTATGATTGGAGACGTATGGCATTGATGTTCATATATTTTAATTGATGTGTTATTTGTATTGTCAGGACGTTTGCGATGACATCGGAGGCGCTCAGAGCTTAGGAATGGCCGGCATTTTAGTGAAGACCGGGAAATACCGTTCGGGAGATGAGAACAAAATCAATCCTTTGCCTCATTATGTTTTGCCATCTTTTAGTGAAGCCATTGATTTAATTATTCAAAATAATAGCTAATCAATGATTAGTAATCATAATTGTTATATTGTTTTGTAAATAAAATAGATAAAAATTATATTAATATCACATTTTGTTTTGCCGTCAATGAGTTGTATTACAAATTAAAAGTAAACTGTTATTTGATTGAAAGTTCTTCGAAGAAAGTGCTGTAATAATGATAATTATAAACGAGTTATTTTTACAACAGAGATGCTATACGTTGACCACAATTGGAGTGATGCTCAAAGAATAGATTATTATCTACACATTTAATACATAGCCCATAGGATTAGCATTAGTATTCATGGAGACCATAGACTAAAGAATTGAGCATTGTCATAGAATTAGCATTGCCCATAGACCTAACAGTAATCTATAATATTAGCATTTCACATAGAATAAGTTACATACTAGTTAATCCTATGGGAGGATTCCCATGTTAAAGTATAGCCATAGACTTAATTCCATGTTAAATCCCATAGGGTGGGGGCCGTACGGGGGAGGGGGCTTCACAATCCTATAAACCACATTCATATCTGAATTGAATAATTAAATGAATAATTAAATTTAATGTTTAAAAATATACATTAAAATCATATATTCTGGCAATATATAGATATTTATTGTCGATTCTTAACAATTGTCTAATTGTTATGAAACAAATAATAAAAATTTGTCTGATATTTGTTTGTATTTAAAATAATTGCTGTTTAATAAATATAAAAGTATTAAAAAAGTATAAACGTAAAAACTATAGATTTATTTCATAATAGTTTTATTTTTAACGGAAAGTCAATGAATTTATTTATTAAAACGGAAATATTTAGCATCCGTTGACTCGCGAAGCGTTTTAGTGAATAAATTTAGATATTTTTCTTTAAAATGTTTATTAAAATTAATTGTTTATTGATTTTATCGATAATTTCATGTATAGTCTGTGATAATATCGATACAAAATTTGCGATAACTTTCTCGTACCAAAAGTCCGACACAAATACGAGAGACAATGAAAATATTTTCGGCTCTTATTTTGGATATTCATTGAGTGCTAACCAACAAAACGATGACAATTAGTAAGTTTTGTGCACTCATTATGGTTTAAAAGTTAATTATATATACAATTACAGTGTACTGATAGGAGCGCCTAAATATCAGTCCACACTCTATGGAAACTCTGCCCAAAAAACTGGTGCTATATTTCACTGCCATTGGA